AAAGCACCGCTCCTGACCAGCGCACGAGCTGACCGGGACTCAAGCCGCGTCTCATGACGCTCGCGAGCCCCAGCCTTCGCAGTGCTTTCTTTCACACAGTCTCAGCTGAGACGCTGTTTCTAGCAAGCCGACCCTGGAAAGTCTTCTCTCCCGCAAAGAGCGTGCTAAAGTTAATTACGCAATCTACACTCAGCAAATGACGGTGCTGATAATCTTTAGACCCCAAATGCGGCCTGCGCTGTGGCACTGCGCACGCTGAAACTTCATGCTCAATGCCTTTTCTACGCTAGTACGCTAAAGGAGCGACTTTAAGGAAATACTGTCAATCCCGTCAACCCCGCTGATTGAAGGGCTCTCCCCATGGGCATCGCGGGAGAGCGGATGCTCCGGATCTTTGTAGTGTACAGGAGAATAAAGACACTGACAGCCACTTAAAGGGCGTTCGTCAATAAGAGCGGGGAAGAACGAAGCATGAGCATAAAAAGACAGGCCCCGGGTTTCTTAAGCTATCAGTAACAAAGACCGCTGCGCACAAGCCTGTACTGATGGACCAGGTCGTCAGAGTAGCTGGCAACGACGAAGAAATTAATAGCAACGCCGGCGGCGATCACAAGATCGGCGCGACGACTGGGACGGAAATACACACCCCGCAGGGCGACCGCATGAGGGACATAATCAGGACGCGACGAGAGCAAATTCGTATTGTATTAGCGTCTACTCGAGAACTCCGTGAGCGCGTGTGCATTCAACACCACCTAGGAGACAAAAAAAAAAGAAAAGGCCTGCGTATGACGTCATCGTTAGTGAGCCCCCGCCCCAAGCGGCAAACACGCCAAAGCACGACGAAAGACACCAGAAAGCGGCGGACGCGTTCTTCTTGGCGTGGCCGCGTGCTAGCGCATAGATCCCTCTATACTCACAAAGCCTGGCAGATTGACGACGGAGCCGTAGACTGCCCGGTCGCAGATTTGGAGCCCGAAAATCTGGTAGCACAGAGCACCAAACAGTCATTTCTTGGGGAACCTGAACGTCAGCGCACAGCTTTTGCAGTGGCGAGAATCCGAAACAGACTTGTTCGCTCGGGAGAAGTGTGTTTCGGCACCTCGCCGCAGCGGGGCGCCAGTCACACGTGGCTCTCCTCTCATCCGTTGTCTGCCGCTCCACTCTTTCCATTTCAGCGGCCGCTTGTCGTGGCGATCTGCCAGGGTTTGTCAGTAAGTGAAACCCGTTTAGAACGAAACCCACGTACAGCGAATTATTGTCGATAACGAACTCAGGGAAAATTTAAATAAAAGTGCATGTAAAAGTACTTTTTATAACGAATAACATATTGGCTATATCGAGCTTTTCCCCCGGGAAGGCTTCCGAAAAACGCGCGAACAATCGTCTTCTAGCCTGTCCCTTCCCCCCAAAAAAAGTAGGAAAGAAAGAAAATTCGAAAGCTCAAGTTGCGAACAAAATTGAGCGAAGAGAAGCGGTTCAGAGGGGGAGAAAGCTAAGAAAATACACTGCACGCACGCAAAACAAAAGAGAAATACTTTCCAGCGCGTTGTTACAAGCCGGAAGCGAAGAGATGAGAAAGAAAGAGAAGCTCTCGCCTTACAACGAACGCATCATCTAAGTTCGTTGTAAATGGTTTTTGCTGTATCGAAATACTTGCTATAGCGAACTGATCGTAGCGTTTCCTGCTGTTCGTTATAAACGGGTTTGATTGTATATATAGGAGGCAATGGCTAGCGTCGCGCTACTTGTGAGACGCTGAAGACACGCTGGCGGCGACGCTGACGCCAGACAGGGGGCGCGGCGTGGATCCACCAGGGATGACGTTTGGGGGGGGGGGGGGGGGGAGGGGGGGGAGGGGGGAGGCGCAGGCCTTGTCTTCTATAGCCCGTTGCAACTCAGGAAGGTAGGGCGAGGGAAAGGAAGGTCGGGGAGCAGAAAGCATACAAAACGCTAAAAAAAAAAAGAGGAGCAGGTTTCCTCCTTTCTACTCCAGCGTTCCGTCTGCTTCCTCCTCCCCGGCCTTCCTTTCCCTCGCCCTACCTTCTTGAGTTGCAACGGACTATAGGCGGTATTTGTGCATCCGACAGGCCAACGGTTTATGGTGAATTCCGCTCGCAGATCTCGAGCGCTCCGAAAGCGCTCCATTTGGAGCGCGCATATTCCACCCGCAGATCTGGCTCAAGTTGGTCATCTTCCGCTCGTAGATCTCTGGCAGCGCCCGCTCCACGGAGCGCCCCAAACTCCGCCGAACTTGCTCCTCGGGATTTCACAGATCTCTCCGGAAGTTGACAGAGCGGCCCACGTGATTTCCGTCTAAATCGGCGGTGCGCAAGCGCGGCGAGGTTGGAGAGATCGGCGGGCCGGTCGGGTCGTGGAGTTGGATCTGTTCGGGTGCATCGGTTGTTTACTCTGGATTGTGACGGCTCGAACGCTTCTACTTCGCGTAGATCAGAGATAAAAAGCCGGGAATGTGGAGCGTGGCAAATCGTAAGCGCTGACGTCTGTGATCGCGAGAGGAAGAACGAGAAAAAGAACGACAGAAAAGCCGGAGGCAGACGCAAGGTTAGGCCTATTCATTCTGCAGCCAGTGATTGTTTACCTTTTTACACTGCATTCCGTCAGCGTTTTCTCGTGAAATAAAGCAAGAAGTGGTTAGGCAATGACCGCGCAAGTGATGGTTTGTTACCCCTGTGTTTATTAAAGTCGTACTACAAATCTGAACTCCACCGCTGGCAATCGCTGTCCGTGCCCCGCCGCTTCGAGGCGGCCGAAAGGTATGTGACGGTGCCGAACGCGGACGTCTTCGTTATTTGTGACATGGGCGCCGTGGTACGTATAATTTCGCCCGGCCTGTGTCGCGTGCTATTTCTGCAGCTAAGCAGTGACGGTGGTCACTGGTCTTTGGAAAGATCAGACGGCTGAGGCGTTGGGGGGACTGGTCAAGTTCGAGCAGCGGCCATTTTGTACGGCGGAGGGAGAAGGGGTGGGAAGGGGTGTGGGGGAGGTCGCCAGGTTTCTCCAAAAATGCAAGTTTGTCTTCCCCTCGTCGATTCGGAGCGGGTCCCACGGAGCGGAATTTTGCCACCCTCGCGGATTTTGTAAAGCGCTCCAGATCTACGAGTGGAATTCACCATTAGTTCTCTCCACGAGCTCACTGAGCCAATCAACTTGCGTCTTGGCGTTATCTGCACGAAGAGATGGGCGCCGAGACGCGTAGCCGCGTGGTGCAAGAGTAATAACAGATCGTATAATGGGTATTATTCATTACAAACCATATTTGATAACGCTGCTTACAGCGCATGCTCAGAACGAGCTCACATTAATAAATTAAGAGGTTAAAAGCGCGAACAAAGCGAGGACAATAAAGGCACAAAAAACGACAGGACATGGGCTAACACCCAATATATTTTATTAGAAACCATCGTCACTTATACACACACACTCATTTGCCCCACTTGGATCACAACCAATCACCACAGGTAGCCATCCACAAAAATCACTTCATTTTAGAGTGAATAAAGACAAGGCGCGCTAATGGATTTGTCATCTATCTTTTTGATATAAAACGCCTCTATAATCTCTCTCAGTTTTATCTTTAGCTTTTTTTTTAAAACTTCGTTGCATCCGAAACACGTTGTTGCGCACAGGGAGATTATGCTCTCGTTCGTTAAAACAGCAGCCAGTTTGCCCGATGTAAACTTTTCCACAATTTAGCGGTAAACTTTGTCCACTTGTCCACAACTTAGCACTAAACTTTGTAAACATTTCCACAACTGTTGTGTTTGTTTCTTTATTGTCCTGCGCTTTTAACCCTTCAATTCAATATGAACCAACTCGTCCAAATCTGTTTTAATGTCACATTAATAGGCTGACAAGGCCGGCAATCTTGATGGCCCGGAATGCACGTTGCAAAAGAACTGTGGAAGCTCGACATAAGCACCCGCTGAGCATTCACACTCAGAACTACGGCCGCCAGTAAATACTCCCGATCCTCACGGCCGCTCAATCTGAAACGCAGAGGTGCGACCCGCCAGCACTCTAAAAAAAGTCTGTGCGTCTACTTTGACACACAACACTCGGAGAACCAATCAGCACAACTTACGGAGGCAACTCAGCGAATGACGATACCGAAACATCTGTTTAAACCAAAAAACGCAGTCTGAGTTGTGGCATTAAAGGGACACTGACAGGGTATTTATGCTCGCTGAGGTTTTTAGTTGTACGTGACATATGAGAGCTGAACTACCCAGAACAGAATTCGCGGCTCAAAGTTCGGTTTCTTTCCGCCCGAAAACCGCCGATCAAGAACTGGCCGGTTCGAGTCTCGCTCACTCTCTTTTCCGCGGTCACGGGCCGTTTTCTAAGGTATCGATGCGACCACCAAATTTAATCAAAGTCGTGGGTCACTGAAGGCACACACTCAATGTTAAAAATAGAAAAAAATATGAAACCCATTTTTTTGTGGCTTCTAAAAAACTGCAAATACGTTGATTGAAAAAAAAAAGTTCCACAGACAACCGGAAGCATTCTGTGCGTTCGTCCTTTCGCGTATCGTGGGACTCGCGGGGACGGCAATGGCAGCGGACGACCGGCGTGGGACCTTTATTTCAGAACTGTTGTTCGCGGTACCGGCGAATTCTGTCTACCTTTGAAATTTGAGACTGATCAAAAGAATTGGTATTCATCCCGTACGACACGCCCGACCACCAAGCCGATTTGCACGAAGACGTCGCCGAGCCGTCGCTCCCTTCTCGTGGCTGAAGACATCGCTCGCGCAAACGTCAAGCACGACGTGTCTACTTCGAGTTGAATATGCACGCGTACGATTTCTTTACTAGGTGTGAATGTCGCCAATACGTGGTGCTTCCCGACTTCGACCCGGGAGTGTTTTTTGCTAGAGGAAAATCGGCAGCAAACTTTGGAACTTACAGTTTACCGATCATTACTAAGGAGGGAGGTGCCCCGGTAGCTCAGTGGCATTCTATTGCCGGCGCTCGTCGGGTGCGGACGATAGGATGAGTAGCTCCCACGGAGCGGTGATAACGGCCTTCGCGGGCCGCGGTTCTTCGGCTGCTGATAACTACCGCATAATCCTGCCCCCTCTGCCTTCTGGAATAGTCACGACGAACTCTTTATTTTTACACTGCGACGTAACCGGACGACCATACCGTATTGACGACTTTCGAGAAGAATTACAGCGACTGCAAGTACTCGGCGATGTGGCCTCATTTGGTGCTTATCAAATGAACCACGTTTGGATGGTCGCCTTCCAGTCTACAACAGCAAAGGACCAACTGCTTGCGGCCAAGGAGCTCACCATCAAAGGCAAGCGCTGTCTTCTCATTGACCCCCAAAACTCAGAACTCCGCATAAAGATTCACTGGGTTCCTTTTCTCGTGTCCGATGACACGGTGCGTCGAGCGCTAGAGCAGTACGGCCAAGTTCATGAAGTCACCCGCGAGACGTGGCGGGCCCAGGGTTTTCAGGGCATACAGTCGACGACAAGACTGGTTCGAATCACTCTGAAAGAGGGCGTCACAAAGGAAGACGTCCCTCACCAACTCCGGCTGTTCGGCGGCACAGCGCTCGTCCTAGTGCCCGGACGCGCCCCCTTATGTCTCCGGTGCAAAAAAACCGGGCATATTCGGAAGGACTGCAGAGTCCCTCGCTGTGAGGACTGCCATCGATATGGCCACACTAGGACAGATTGCGTTAGAACCTACGCAGCTGCAACAAGTGGACCACTCCTCGATGAAAACCTCGACATGCTGATGGACGAAAGGGAAGCGGAACAAGCAGCGAGCGCGGGCACCACCGAGTGCAACTCTCCCACGGAGTCACTGACCAGGGGCACGCCTGCGGTCATCCCCGAGTGTAACCCATCTGCGGCCCCGCTGACCAGCAGCATGCCCTCGGACACCACCGGGCGCAATCCTTCCGCGGCCCCGTCGTCCAGGGGCACGTCTGCGGCCTCAACGTCGACACCTTCCTCACAAGTCGAGCTTTCTGCGGACGCTACTACTGAGGACCCACTAACTGGCGGTGACACAACGCCCGTTTTCCAGGCGGATGGCCGGGCGAACCAAGCGCAGGAGGCAGCGGTACCGGACACGGCAGGGCAGAACGAAGCGGAGATGGAGGTGGTTGCCACGGCTATCAAGCGACCTCTCGTCCAAGAGAACAGCGCTGAGGAAGAGGAGGACGGCACACCGACTTATTTACACTGTAAACTCGCCACAACCAGACGCGGACGCCTAAGAGCCCCGAAGCCCCGGCCTCCGCTAGAGGACCGGCACGAAAGGAACTCCTAGAAGGTGAACTGTTCCAACGCTTTCAGCGTCGTGCTGTGTGCAGACGCGTTTTGATGCGCGGGGTTTTGTTCTCTATTTTCTTTGGATCGCGACCATAATGAAACAGTTGAAATTAGTAACTTTAAATTGCGTTAGCCTGATAGCTCGAATAAGGAAACAATGGGTGTTAAACGCGCTGTTGAAAGAGAACGCAGACATCGTGTTTCTACAGGAAACGAAACTCTCCTCCGATTCTCAGGTGCAAGAATTGGCTCGATTCCTTGAGCGACATTTCAGTTTGTTTCATTCGAATGCTATCGCACAGAGTGGGGGGGCGGCTATCCTAGTTCGAAAAGATAGTGCTCTCGCCGTGCTTCCGGAGTGGGAAAGTGATAAGAGCGGTCGGGTGTGTGCAGTGGAACTGCTGTGTAATCGTGAGCTCTTTAAAGTTGTGTGTGTTCACGCCCCCAACACACCAGCAGATCGTAAGAACTTTTTTATCAATCTACGACAATACTTGGACACATCGGCAAAGACGATACTAGCTGGTGACTTTAACTGTATTGTAAATTCGCGAGACTGTTCAAACGGGCTCCATTCTGATTCGAGCGTTGGAGAGCTTAAGAAGTTATTACGGGATTTTGACCTTCAAGATGTGACGGAAGTGGCGTCGGCGCCGTGGCCCGGCTATACCCATTGGCAGGGCAATTGTCACTCGCGCCTCGATCGTGTGTATGCGTCAAGCGAATGCGTAGCGACTGCGGAAGCATACAAGGTCAATGCCGTCGCTTTCTCGGACCATGCAATCGTTTCAGTGCGGGTGGGAAAAAGCAAACCTAAAGTAAAGAAAACATCAGGGTGGAGTTCTTGGAAAATGAACGAGAGCCTGCTAGAAGAGAAGCCGCTTGCTGCCAAAATAGAGGAAGTTCTACGCGAAACAAACAAGGCTGGCGTAGACGCTGTTAGGTGGGAACTCGTGAAGGAAGAGGTCAAATTAATCACCTTTCGGTATAGCCAGGAAAAGGCTGCTCAAACGCGGGCAGAAAAGCGCAGCCTTGAATTAACTCTGAAAACTTTAATCGGTGAAGAAAGCCGAACCCCAGGCGTGTTCACTAGCGATATTCGCGAATGCAAGTCACGACTCCTCTCGATTATGGAAGGTGAATATCGTGGTGCAATGGTGCGATGCCGGTTGCATGCGTTAGACACAGAAGAAAAGCCGGTTAAAATCTTTAAAACGAAAGAGCGCAATCACATTCGCCGAAATAAAATAACTTCTCTGCAAGTTGGGGAACAGGTTTTTTCAGAGCAGGACGACATCGAACGTGAACTCGTAGACACATTCACTAAGCTGTTGAGTGTGCAGAAAGAGGTAGATGAGACCACTCTAGAAAAATGTTTGGAAGCCATGCCGAAAATTCCTCCGGAGATTTCTGAGAAAATAAACGGGGAAATCACTGAAAAAGAAATAGGAGAAGCGATTAAAGAACTTAACACCAGAAAGTCGCCAGGTGTAGATGGGCTGGGTTCAGCATTTTATAAAAAGTTTTCAAGCCTTCTAATTCCAATACTCCGAAATGTGTATGCAGACATCTTAAAACGAAATTTGCTACCTCCATCAATGCGACAAGCAGTAACAGTTCTCATTCCCAAAAAAAATGCAGGCTCCAGCGTTACGAGCGCAGACAACCTTAGACCAATCAGCCTGTTGACTTCAGATTACAAGATCCTCGCCAAAATTCTGACTAAACGCATTGAACAGGGTTTAAGCTGTATTGTGGGAAATCATCAACCTTACGGGTTTAAAGGTAGGTCGATCACAACAAACTCCCACATAATGCGGACTATATGCGAAACGGCGGAGGCCGAACAACACCCCATTGCAGTGCTCCAGGTCGATCTTAGTAAGGCCTTCGATAGGGTGTCACACTCGTTTCTCTTTACACTTCTGGAACGATGCAGTCTTGGAGGGACGCTAACAAAGTATGTTAAGATTTGCTACAGGGAAATCACTACTCGCTTATTAGTCAACGGGAACCAAACTACTCCTATAAAGGTAAAATCATCAGTAAGGCAAGGATGCCCAATGTCGCCGCTGCTCTTTGCGTTATATTTAGAACCTCTATGTAAAATAATTATGGCCGACGAGAACATACAGGGCGTGAATCTTGGCACCGGCCCAACTAAAATTCTAGCCTATGCCGATGATGTTGCAATTGTATGTTCGTCTAAGCGAGAACTGGAGCTTGCAGTAAAACATTTATCGGATTTCTCCAACGCGTCAGGGGCAGTCATGAATATGTCCAAATCGACTGGGGCTTGGCTCGGCCCATGGATCACAAAACCCGAGAGGTATTTGGGCATGAATTGGTCGTGCTCAGTCTCTAAATATCTCGGAATTGAACTCGAAACTTCATCACTCAGCACCGGCCGAGAGGGCATTCATTTAAATAAGGTTCACGGAAAAATGAGCGAATGGCACGGAAGGTACCTTTCGTTCTTTAACAGGTCTTTCGTTTGTAACTCTGTATTCTTTTCGAGTGTATGGTATGCGGCACAGGTTGTGCCGTCCCGTCAAGTAGATATCCACAAGTTTCACAGGATTTGTGCAACATTTATCTGGCAATCTTTGTTTGAACGGATGCGTAGAACTAATTTGTTTCTTAGCCTTTCCAAAGGAGGTATGGGACTGGTTAACTTAGAACTGAAGATAAAAGTAAATCGTTTTCTGTTTTTTCGGGACCAAATCCACCCGGTTCTGGCGAGATCCTTAAAGTGCCTAGGGGGACGATACCTGTCGGCCTGGCAAGTTAGTACGGAAGAAGCCTCCAGAAGGGCTCCCGTACTTAGGTTTTACAAAGAAATTGAAGACGCCATTACTTTTTTTCAATCACGTTTTTCTTGGGACTACTTAATCCAGGCGAATAGGAAAAAGTTGTATTGGGACACTATCGACCTGGTAATACCGCCACCAATGTATCGCTCTCCGCCGGAAAGCGTAGAAGGGTCTACAGTGTTTAAAAAACTGCGTAAATACCCGGTAAAAACATGCATAAAAGACTTCTTCGTAAAATTTCATACAGAAGTGTTGCCTGTTAAGACGTGGCTCGAGAACAAAGGGTTTCTTTTGGCGGGGTCTGCCAATTGTGCTTTATGTCCTTTCCAGGAGACTTTGCACCATGTATTCCTGTACTGCACAAATGCTGAAATATTCTGGTCGGAACTCCGTCATGCACTTAACCTTGATGAGGCCCAGCCGGATTGGGGCACTCTAAAATTTCTCCGTGTTGCAGCTGGTGTAAACCAAAAGTGCGTAGAAGTGTTATTTCTGCTCGGGATGCATGCGATTTGGAGATCCCGTACAGATCACACGCTCGTTGAAGAAAAAGGCAAGCCTGCTTGGAGCCATTTTGTCGAAGGCTTTTCCTACACTAGTAACCTGTTAGAGCAAACGTGCATGCCCGGCTTCGAGCAGTGGTCTGTTATGCAAGCACGTTTAAAAAACTACATGGTGAAAAGAGACAAGTTCATAAATAGAAATTGTATAATGCTCAACTGATCCTATGAAAATTTGATTGGGTGGGTTTCTATACATGTGTGGCTTCGGCAATGGCCAAGAAGGCCAGCTTTTAACTCTGTAAATAAAAACGTTTTTTAAATTAAAAAAAAAAAAAAAAAAAAAAAAAAAAAAAGCCCCGGTAGCTCAGTGGGAAAGACGTCCGCTTCATACTCGGTACGACCGGGATCAATCCCCTGCGAAACTTTTTTTTTTTTTTTTTCAAACATTTTCCGATGTTTACATATCTTTTTTTTTTTTTTTACAATTATCAATGAAGAAACAAACAAACAAAAAAATAACAAACAAATGTTGTGGACAACACTTCGCCGAGTTAAATGGTATGGGATTTCCTTTTTGACAGTTGCGAACTCAATGTAATCACTTTCCACAAAATGCAAGGAGCATATAAATCAGGAAGCCTGTGCTTTCCGAGGTGCCCGTAAATGTTGAATTGCAGCCATCCATTGGTCCCGATCCCGTTGATCTTTCGGAAACTCTGTCGCGCAATGCCCCTTTTGTTTTCGGACGCAGGACATGTGATCCAGCTCTTCACGCAACATCTTGGGTGTATTCTTTTCGGAGCCGATCATGGAAATTCACCACGGGCACTCACTACTCATCTCCAACTCCTTAATGTACAAAACAACTCATCTTGGAGTTCAGAACAACGAGCGGAACAAACATAACTGCAAAAGCGAACAGTTCCCGTACGCCGCATGTCGTGTCGTCTGCTACGGAGAGGAGAAAAAAAAAAAAAAAAAAAAAGAACGCACGGTCGGGTGTAGCCACGTGACTTCCGCCACTCACTCTCTTCTCTCCACTTCTCCGACCTCCGTCGGGTTTCGGTTCGGTTTCAAGCAGTTGCGTCCTTTGGCTTTATTAAAAAAATACGCTACTCTGTTGCAAAATATTAATTGGGTAGTCCTCCGACACCATAATGAAGCGCCTGACAAAAAATGGAAAAAATTTTTTTTTGGGGGTGTCAGTGTTCCTTTAAGCAATGCAAGCATGACGTTTTGCATTGCTTAATGTCACAACTCAGACTGCGTTTCTTGGTCTAAACATATGTTTCCGCATCGCCATTCCCTGAGCTGCCTCCGTAAGTTGCGGTGATTGGCTCTCCGAGTGTTGTGCGTGAAAGTAGACTTACAGACATTTTTTAGAGTTTAGTACCCCGAGCGACCACCGCGGCGCTACCGGTCGTAAGCTACCGCCCGATCCAAAGGGCTCAGCCGTATTCATCCGTCCATCCATCCAGCTGCTGTCCATCGCCTTTGTAAAACGCCACAACCACTACCAGTATTGCAGTGTCTTCTGCGTACGCCAGAGATACTACCGTCGTGGTTAGTGCGCACGCAAAAACAACTATCGTAGGTTTTTGCGCGAGCCCTAAATTCCCTACCTTACGCCATATCCACTCACCTGAGGACTCACGCTATCGCCGCCGACTACCAGAATTAGCTAAGCGCTTTCTGTATCGGAGTGTTGGGGGAGGCGTCTAGGGAAGAATCGGAGCAACAAATAATGTGGAGGGACATGTTTAGGGGTCAAAGCTGCCGCTAAAACGATCTCAACAGGTTGCGGAACAAGAAAGGTCCCGCGCATTCTGGGCCCTGCCATTTTTAATTTGGTATTGAGGCTTCTCTGAGGCCGCTCTTATGTGTATGCGTTCTAATAAAAGTGTTTTTGCACCAAAAACAAATCAAGACCTCCCATATCAACATTAAACACCCAAATTGAAAGTTTGTTTCTGATCACTGCACTTTAACATTGGCTACGTAACACCGCGTTTAGTTTAGTTTCGTTAAGATGCCTCATGAGCAATTTCGCAGAAGTGAAATCGCAAGTGAATCCAACAGCGTAGATAAAAATCTCACCTTCTGAATCAGGCGAGGCCATTGCTTTGTCAGCTCGTACACGGCTCATTTTCTCCGAATTCAAACCAAAACGAAACGAACTGTGGTGTCGCATAAGTATAACGAATCTAAATATTAAAGTATATTAATAAAAAGCGCACATTTGATTGCGAGGGTTAATTACATAGTAACGCACGTTTTAATTGAATTGTGTAGGATAAATACAATTATCAAGAAAAGTGCAAGCCAGAGCGGCGTCCGGAAAGCCGCATCCTTCCGACACCATTCAGACTGGCAGCGCTCAAAAAGCGCGGGATCGCCCCCGTTTTGCGACCTGCTGCGATCGTTGTAGCTCTTGTAGCGGCAGTTTTGACCCCTAAGCTAGTTCCTTTCCACAAAATGTGTTGCTCCGATCCTTCCTTGACGCCTCTTCCAGCATTTAAAAACAATAAGTGCTTAGCCAGCGCTGGTGGTTCGGGAGCGATGAATAGCAGATTTGGCGGGAGGGTAGTGAATTAGAGGTACGCAGAAAAAGCTGCGGTATCGTTCACTGCGGACGTCAAGGATCACTAGAGTAGTGATGTCAGCGTACGCGATAACCCTTACAGTTGTAGTTTTAGTGGGGTAATGAGATTGGCGTCCTACACCGACGCTGGTTGCTTTGTTCCGTGGTATCTCTCCGCTGATCATTCTCGCTCCGCTGCTGCTTAACAGCGCGCGTCCCCGGAATTGACCCCGAAAGTGACTACGTCACAACATGGCGTCTGGGTCCAAACCAACCGTTGCTAGGGGCGTTGCTATAGACTAATGCATGGAGACTCCACATGAGGCTAGTTTTTTTGCTTACAAGTAAGTAAACAATTTTTCGTAAGCAACCTAACTTCTTGATGTCTAATTATGAAGATGTTCTTGTCGTCTCAGCGTCGTATTGCAACGATGAAAGCCATCTCTGAAGTATTACACTCCGCTTCGCTTTGGTAGCAGACGACACGATAATAATAATTGGGTTGTAGGGATATTTATACAGCGTGTAGTTGGTCTGCCGTTTAAAGTTGCGACGAGTCACACGCTGTAGATGAGCAATTTAGCCAGTGCAGTACAACCGCTAGCCTGGGGTCTTTAACGTGCACCACGCAGTAGTGATACACGACCGCACGCCGGTACGATGCTCATCCAGATCGAAACGGGCAGGGGTGGGGCTCGAACCCAGGATCCCTGGGTTCTGCAGAGCGAGCTTTCGCTCCACACGACACGATAAATTTGCTGGCCTCTGTTGCAGTGGGCGTATTCAATGAATTGCGTCGCTAAATGAGCGACAAAAACAAGTGCATCGCCGTGGCCGTAGAGGCCTCGCAATGTGCGTTCTTTTTTTGTGAAGAACCCAGCTTAGTTCAGAGGGGTGAAAATGCCGTAAAATCAAACCACGCTATGCAGACCAGTTACGACGACGACCTGAAGTGCATTATTGGCGTAATGCACGCCAGCATGATAAACAAATCGTACGCCGTCGAGGTAAGTCGTTTGTTATTATTATTCTTGAGGTTGCCAGGTTATTAAAGAATTGCATGTCTATCGCAATTTTGCAGTATTTTGCTTTTAGAGCGCAGCTCTTAGGGGCCCGTTCCCGGCTTGAGCGGCGTCCCCGTCGCCGTCGCCGTCGCCGTCGCCGTCGGCGTAACCGCGCGGTGCATTATGGGTAAATTTCCCCGCTAAATCTAGCGGAAAAAATTTCCCCGCTAAATCTAGCGGAAAAAATTTCCCCGCTAAATCTAGCGGAAAAAATTTCCCCGCTAAATCTAGCGGAAAAAATTTCCCCGCTAAATCTAGCGGAAAAATTTCCCCGTCAAATCTAGCGGAAAAAATTTTCCCGCTAAATCTAGCGGAAAACTTTCCCCGCTAAATCTAGCGGAAAAAATTTCCCCGCTAAATCTAGCGGAAAAATTTCCCCGCTAAATCTAGCGGGAAAATTTCCCCGTCAAATCTAGCGGAAAAAATTTTCCCGCTAAATGTAGCGGAAAAAATTTCCCCGCTAAATCTAGCGGAAAACTTTCCCCGCTAAATCTAGCAGAAAAAATTTCCCCGCTAAATCTAGCGGGAAAATTTCCCCGCTAAATCTAGCGGAAAAAATTTCCCCGCTAAATCTAGCGGAAAAAATTTCCCCGCTAAATCTAGCGGAAAACTTTCCCCGCTAAATCTAGCGGAAAAAATTTCCCCGCTAAATCTAGCGGAAAAATTTTGGTCACGTGACCCGGGGGTCACGTGACCTGGGGAGTCACGTGACCCCCTCCCGAGGTCACGTGACCTCTGAGGGGGCACGTGACCCCCGAGGTCACGTGACCCCCCCCCCCCCCCCCCCCGAGAACACGTGGCCCTCAGTACCCTCCCCTCCTCCTCCTCAAGAGCTGCGCTCCAATTCGGCGTTACAGGGAGTGGTAAACGGCTTTCACTTTTTTTTTCCTTGGTATGCATCAAATTGCGTGGACGTGCTTTATTGGTGAAGATCTCCATCGAACCCGCGATTCGAGTACAATCCCTTAATAAACTCACCTTATGTTTTTATCCAATTCTTTTGCGCTTTGGGGTCTTGCGAAAACATGGAGAAACTGCAAGAATCTTTCTCCACGCCATGGTTACAACCAGCTACGAAGCATCCTCTCATAGCGCGAGTCCACAAACAAAATTTGGGGTCTCAACCGATCGCCTGAAGTGCTTTTCTCACGGCTGCCATGCACTTTTAGCAGACGATCATCTCGATCGACGCCCGGACTTTTGATAAACCATATTTTGCGTCGCACGCCACTATGAATTTTTATAAGTGTCTGAAACTCGTTGTATTTCAAACAGATGCAATATCAGAATATCGTCTTTATTC